AATGGTGACATTCTCAGGAAGAGTGACCACGAACCGCTGTAGTCTACAAAGATTGAACCCCATATTGCTGAAATGATACATAAACAACTTGCGAATAATAACTAGTACCCTTCTTCTCATTCTGAATTCCCTTCGCGCCCCAAATCCCGCCTTACAGAATTGCCGAGCGGTTTGCAGTGGATTTTTAAATTTCGCAATAGCCTTCGGCGGGGGTGCTGTCGTCAGTATTTTTACGTCTTACCCTTTCCAGCCAGCCAAAATGCATTGCAATCTGAATTGAAAAGTTCTGTTAATTCTATATTCGGATTTTACAAAGAACAAAATTGAAGTTTATTCTTGCTTTTTCAAGTAATTATTTTGTTTGCCAGTGGTGATCATTCAATTCCCGTCAGAAATAACGTTATTTAACCATTTCACAACCAGAATTTCTTGTCAAAATATTTCTGCACTTTTTGACTCCCATGTGCGAAGCACAAAATGGGAGTCTTTGCGGTTAGTGTATGTGTGTGTGTATGTGTGTGTGGGGGTGTGTATGTGTGTCCGTCTGTTCCACTGATATCTCAAGAACCATACATCAGTTTTTGATGGAATTTGGTGCATAGATGCTCTGGGCTTATGCGCAGATTTGATTAGGTTTTGGTAAATTTCATGCATATTAATTACCTAATTTGCATGATAATAAGCTGATTTTTAGCTGTTCCATTGACATCTAAAGAACCACTTGTTGGATTTTGATGAAACTTGGTACATGGATGCTCTGAACTAATGCTTGGTTTTGTTTAGTTTTTGGTAAAAAGTACCTAATTACTAATTACCTAATTTGCATAATGATTAGTCAATTTTTGTTTTTTCCACTGATATCTCAAGTACTAATTATCACATTTAAATGAAACTTTGTACATGGATGCTGTAGACAATTGTGGGTTAAAATCATATTAATTACTAATTTACATAATTAACCACTTTTAAGCTATCACACTGATATCTAAAGTACTAATTATTCCATTTCAATGAAACTCAGTGCAAAGATGCTCTAGGACAAACCTGATTAGTTTGGGGTTAAAATCTGTTTATATTAATTCCCTAATTAGCATAATAATTTATAATTTTTGTGGGTTCCAATCACATGTCAATAAAACTTGGTACATAGATGGTCTGTTACATTGCGCAGACCTCATTAGTTTTCCATTAAAATCTGTTCATATTAATTTTCTAATTAAACTAATGCATTATTAGTTTTCGGCTTTTCCATCACTATCACTATCTATGACAAGTAATTTTGAATTATATTAATGTGTCTCCAATACTCTCAGCACATGGGAGTTCTTTCTAAGCTTTCTTTGATTTCTCAATATTTCTGAAAAAATGAACTTAAATTTTGGAGCCAAAGGACAAAATCTTAGTAAATTTTCAGTTTTTTATCCAAACATTTGGTTATTCAGTTTTTGTCCCGATTTTCATAAGGCAAGTGCAGACTAAAAACGGGACTATTTTGTGACCTTGTGTCGAAAAAGGTAAAGGACGCGGCGTGTTCTTTACGACTTGAAACTAATAGCGACTTACACAACACGTGTAAATACATTGTTTGCATGAAATTCAAACCACCGTCCTTCGAGCTATAAGAATATTGTTTCTTGACTTCTAAGAGTCATTTTATGCAACAGGCGCTCATATGTAGAACCCTTTCCACGTAAATATGCTTCCCTTTCTCCAGCTTCGTCGGCCTCGGATCAGAGCAGTCCGAAAATGGGTCGGCCAAAAATAAATAAAATACGTTTCATGACTTATCCATCTACTGATTTTATCGGCTCGACAAAAGACCGTATTGTATGTTTCCAGATTCGAAGCGCATTGTGATTTCATCACCGTATTTTGCCCGCTGTAAAATTAGCCGCTTGACAGTAACTGATGACAAAAATTCCCTAGCTTTTGTCGTATTTCATCCAAAATAATAGTGGGTTGATCATTATAGCCGCCAATTTGTCCTTGTGTGTATACTCCCTGGTAGGGGACAGGTGGCAGTTTGCCCGTACAAATCACAAAAATTGGGGCCGGTGCTATTTTACAATTAATTCATGCAGAGTGAATGGCACGTTTTCTGAATTTTGAGTGACAGTTTGAACTGGGCGACATTTACTGGTATGCTGTAGTTATAATTGTGTTTCTTGATATACTGCTTTCCGAAATACTACATTATAGGGATATCAGTACCCATATAAGCTCAGCCACGCGATCACCGCCCAGTTCCGCAAATACGGTGAATTGTATAACAACAACTAGCCGCTGCCGGTGCCTGCGTTACATGAACAGCCTGAATATTGTGGCGACTTTCGCGCAAATTTTTGTTAATGTATTTTTAAATCGTACTCGTAAATTGTAAGACTGGTTTGGTGCTTACACGTAATTGACATTAAAATAGCTCAAACAAAATGGTGGCCGCCAGACGTTGTGGTTGGAGGACACCATCCACGAACACACACCTCTCTCTCGCCTTGGGTCATTCGTTGCCAGGTGTGACATAGGTTGTGTTGCTACCGCAAGAGATACCTTAAAACTAGTCGATGCATTGTGCAATCCATCGGGATAATTTAAAAAAAAATGAAATTACTTGAACGAACGAATGAATGAATGAATGAATGAATGAAAATGTTGGGACTAGAAAATTTTGTTTTCGAATTTGTTTGAGTACGTGCGAGATTATTGTCCTCCTTTATGTGAATTGTTTTGGCCACAAAATTATCCACACCTTCGATCAGTTTTCAACCGGGAAACAAATTGCGTGTATATATGACAGTGTACCACCACGAAACATGAAAAATGTTGGTCGAAATTTTAGCGAAAATTGGGTTGTGAATACTATTTTGGAATTCGAGTTGGATTGGTACCGTAGCGAGAAAGGGCGCGTGCGAGAGATCACCGATGGCGTTTATTGGTAGTCTGACACGACATGTAAATTTGTTTTCATCAGTTTTATAATAATAATAATAATAATATAATTAGGATTTTTAGTCGAATTTCCATATTTTGCATATTTTGCGTTGGCGAAACAAATAGCTAAATTAGAAGGATTTGAATAGGTGCTGGTAGGCATATTATTGTGGGTCAATACGTCCGTCGAAGAAAAATATGGCGGGAGAAAAAACAAAAAATAATTATATGGACACGTTTTCCTCGTGTACACATCCTCAACACGAACTGCACTCAGTGCTCCGAGGGTGATCTTATAGCTGTGGCAAAACAAGTTCTAATCTCCCAAATGTCTGAGTTGAGTTCACACAACTGGAATGTTCAACCACTCGTTCTTGAAACTACAGTCT